GAGCGGGTGGAGCCTGCAGCTCTCACCCTGCTGGATCCTAGGTCGGAGCCCCGAATGCTGGTGCCCGGGGCTGGCTAGGGGGGCCGTTGTCATCACTAGACCCTCAGCCCTCAGCTAAGGCTGCATGTTCCCCAGCCGGCCACTGCCCCTTCCCTGAAATCTGGTGTTGGGCTCCGCCTCTCTCCCTTTGTCTCCCCCCTGGGAATCCCGTTATCGCCTCAGGCGGAGCCCAGGTGTCTGGGTTAATCCACATTTGGGTGAGGCAGTGGCTATCACACATCCCAGCGCAGGGGGACCCCGGGTTACAGAGCAGACAGCCCCCCCACTACGCCACACTCCGTGACTCAGTTTCCCCGTGCAAAGGGTGCCTAATAACGCCCCTTCCTCCTCTTTCCTGGAGCGATGCGCTGGGCGGGGGTGTCTCTGGGGGGCAGCAATGTCGGGGCGCCGTTCCAATAAAGCCGCCAGCAGCTCTGGGCCTTTGTGTGTCTCCTCTCAAGGCCACACCATCGTCAATAAGTCCCCCGATGCTCCTGTCACCCCACCTATTACAGCGGGGAAACTGAGGCCTGCCCAAGCTCACACAGTGAATCGGGGGGAGGGGGGGGCAAACCCAGGAATCCTGGCTCACAGCTCCCCTTGCTCTAACCACTAAGCCCCACCTCCCCCCACCATTGTGATGTCCCGCCGCGCTGCGGAGCTCCCTGCCAGGGCCACGTGTCGCCGAGGCAACGGGGCGTGGACATTCTGCGGGGCAGGCCCCGGGGGGGCCAGGGAGGCGCCGCACTGGGTCCTGCCCAGCCTCTTCGCTTCCTTTCACTTCAGCTCCCTGCTGGCCTTGAGTGGCCTGTTCTTCTCCTTCCCGTAAGCAGGGCCGCCGGTTCGAACCCCCGCCGGGGTGGCATGGGGGGGCTGCCCCATGCAGAAGTTACTGCTCCTGGGTGCTGGCCGGGGGCAGCCGGGACCCCCGCTGCAGGAGTCACCTGCCACCCAGCCCCTGCGAGGTCTTGACCTACGGTTCCTGGCAGAAGCCAGCTCCGCCCAGGGCTCAGTGGGTGCGGGATAGGAGGGGACGGCGGGTGGTCTGGCCTGGCTGGGACAGTGCCCCCCTCCGAGATGAGTCACAGGTGGGCAGAGAGCATCTGGCTGCAGAGAGGGGGGTGAGGCCGGGCAGGGGGCGAGGGCTGGGATGGGCCTGAGGAATTTAGCAGACAGCCCCTGGGTCTGGGCCCCCCGAGGTGGCAAGAGACCAGGAACTGGCCGGGGTCCCTTGGTTGCATGGCATGGGGAGAGTGTCTGAGTCTAGAGCCATGCCTGGGTCAGCTGTCACCGGACTTCACCAACTGATCATCACGTGCCCCAGGAATCAGCTCTCGGACACCAGCACGGCTGGGCGGGTTGGCCCCATTTCACAGATGGGGAAACTGAGGCACGGGACCAGCGTAGAGACCAGGAACTGGCCGGGGTCCCTTGGTTGCATGGCATGGGGAGAGTGTCTGAGTCTAGAGCCATGCCTGGGTCAGCTGTCACCGGACTTCACCAACTGATCATCACGTGCCCCAGGAATCAGCTCTCGGACACCAGCACGGCTGGGCGGGTTGGCCCCATTTCACAGATGGGGAAACTGAGGCACGGGACCAGCGTGCGCTCGGGCTTCTTTCCCTGGGGGGTTGTCACCGGGCACGTCTACGCGGGACGCCAGCCTTAGCCACCCCCTTGCCCTTGTGTGGATCTTCAAGGTCTGCAGGGGCCTGGGGCCTCTGCCCCTGCCCCCTGCCCCCAGGTCTGCTGCCCGTCCCCTCCCGCTGGGGCCTGTCTCTGCCTCCGAGCTCTGAGCGGTGCCCCCGGCGAGGCCCCCACCCCCCCCCCCCCCCCCTCAGAGCCCGC